CAGGAAAACAGCTTCCTGCTAGGATCATTTGCACGTCAGTTCCTAAGGTTAAGACACTTGGCCCTGAGCCATGCAAACTGGACTTGCATTTTCAAGTTTTTACATAGTGTCTTGTGAAGGTTGCTTTTCCATTTAATTCCGAGTTGGCACACGCCCGCCCTGCAGGTCTCTATGTTAGTTTCCTAGCGCTAGCGACTTTTCTCATTCATTCTACAAATTGCAGGCTTCCTATGTTTAAGACCAATCCCCAGCACTGTGATTGTCACTGTTCATGGGAACCAATTATTACTGGAGAAAAAAAAAAAAAAAAAGCTCAGGTGAGTGCTCCAGATCCAGCCTGGCTCAAGATTCCCAAATTTAAGGGTACAGAGACTCATCAGTGAAGGTTGCGGGTCTTGGCCTTCCTGGTCAGAACCTGAGAGGCTCCGTGCCTCTTCATCGACTTATATGTTACCAATTATGCTTTCTCCACTCCTCCAAGCTTCTGTAGGCCATCAGTGGGCACCACTCTCCATCTCAGCCCTTCCTCCAACCCCCCCCCCCATACCTCCCTCCCAGAAAACCGTGCTACTGAAGGAACCAAAGCTTAGGCTCAGAACCGGGATCCAACCTCTGTCTGCTGGTCTTAATAAGTTCCAGTCCAGGAATCTCCCCGGTCCTTCGCTCTAGAATGCTACAGACTTTCAAGACCTGACATGTCAACTCTGTAAAGCCTTAGAGGAGAAGGGGAGAAGTCGCCGCAAGATCTGGCATTTTACAGAGAACAGTGTCGTATCTCTAAGAGGAGGCGGGCGATTCCTTTCTCCAGGCCCTTCGTCCACAAGAGACCAGTGAGCTTAAAGTTGTGTTAAGGAGCAAAGGGCCACCGCTAAAAGCGGCTTGGCCGAGAAGCAGGAAAGGGTCTCTGGGAAGCAGCATCACTCATCATCATTGTCGTCGTCATCCTGGTCCTGGTAGCGAATGTAGACCACCAGCATGACAAAGCCCATGAGGATGCAGAGGGAGCCAACAACCAGGTAAGCGATGCCCAGGAAAGGGTTCTTCCCACCCATCCACGAGATGTTGCTAAAGATGATGAGCTTGTGGCCGCCGAAGGCGAGCACCGGGTAGTTGTAGGTGATGTTGACGCGGTAGGCACCCCGGGGCAGGCCCGCCGAGTAGTTGCCCTGACGGATGCGCGCATAGAGCTTGCGGAACGTGGGCAGCGCCGCCGTGCGCATCCACACCACGAAGTCCTGGTTGATGAAGCCGGTGTTGTTGGGATCGGGACTGAGCTCGTAAACCGGCCGGTGCCAGTTGGGCGGTGGCGCCGTGCCGCGGAAGGCCAGCGCCAGGCTGCCGTTCACCAGCGGCGGGTTGCGGAACTTGACGTGGTAGTCGGTCCACCAGGCGATGGCGGTGCGGTCGAGGGGCACCTCGACGTAGGGTCCCCCGGGCTGGCGCTGGTGCCACAGAGAGAAGGAGTCGTTGAAGAGGCTGTTGGCGATGGCGCCGCAGGGCGCGATGGGCAGCCCGGTGGCGCTGAACTGGTAGGGGGCGCACTCGTTGGCCGGGTGGCGCAGCGCGCTGGCCAGGCCGCTGAGCTGCGCGTCGTCGCGGGACACGCCGTAGCGCCGGTTGTTCTGGTAGAAGTTGGACAGCTCGTAGTAGAGGTAGACGGGGCCCGGGAAGAGCTCGGGCAGCGAGAAGTACCAGGCGCACGAGCAGTTGGGCGGCGGCGCGCGGCCCTGGCCCTCGGCGGCGCACAGCGAGCAGTTGCCGGTGGTGCCGGGGTTGCCGCTGTAGTCGTACTCCAGCTCCTTGATGCCGTTGGAGGAGTAGAAGAGGCCCAGGCCCAGGCCGATGAAAGCCAGGCCGGCGCAGAAGAAGAGCGGCAGGGTGATGCCGGCCGAGAGCAGCGGCTGCCAGGCCGGGAGGCGCTGCTGCGTGAAGGCCGTGTTGTCCGGCTGGTGCGCGCCCCGCGCCGAGACGCTCCAGGTCATGGCTGGGTCTCAATCGGGGGGAGCCTGCGGTGGGATCTCAGCCCCGGGGTTGCCTGCGGCGGGATCTCAGCCCGGGGGTTGCCTGCGGCGGGGTCTCAGCCCTGGGGGTGCAAGGGCTGCGCCTGGCTTCCCGCCCCCGCGCGCTCTCCCGGCTCGACGGCTGCGCCCCGGCCCCGCCTCCCGCCCGCGCAGGTGCGTCCGTCCCCGCCTCCCGCGCAGGTGAGGTGGGTGGCGGGGTGCCCGGCGTCCGCCCAGACTCCTCAGTTCCGCCACCGCCGCCCGGGTGACCTGAGACGGCTCCGCCCCTGCATGGCGCCCTTCCCAGGTGAGCAGGGCCGGGTTCCTCAACTCACCAGGCCGGCTTTGGCTCCTCTGCCCTCGGTGCACGGTCCCCACCCCCACTCTCAACCCCCACCCCCTATTCTCCATGCCACTGTAGGTGATGGGATCTGAGCAGCTCATACCTTTGCTCGGGCCGCTCCTGTTCCTTAACGCCTTCTACAGGGCCTGGGTCACTTTCTCCCAGTCACAAGCCTGCCTTAAGCAGAAAGTTCCACCCCAGAGCTCACGCCAGGGTGAGGTTCTGTTGGCTTGATGATTTATTACCTTGTTAAGGTTGTTAATCCTCGTTATTTAAGGAAGAGGGCGAGCCTTAGTAGGTTTTCACTTAGTTTTCAAGCACAAATTGTAGTGCCCCGGAATTACATTATGGTAACTGTATCTATTTCAACATGGGTTCTTACCCCCACCTCCCACCCCCCTTTATTGAAGCTACAATTCTTTTCTAGCGGTATGTTCCAGTCTGGCTTAATAAACTACGAAGGTGGAAAGTTCTGTAAAAATAAAATGATCGTTTTAAAAAGAATCAAAGACCGGGAGAGTTTGCAGCCTTTGAATAATGGTGGAGAAACCACCAGGGAGGGGGGCGGGGAATGCTGTGGATTGCATGTGACGCTCTTTTCAGATTACCTGCTGGACCAACCTGATCCAAGGGGACCTAGCTGATACCCACAGTCAAGGACGTTTGGCGCACTTGGTCTAAAAAAGGTGAACTAGAAGGATTTATAAACCATATAAAGACTCGTCAGCTCAAAGGGTTGCCTGGGGTTCTGTGTTTTGTTTGTTTGTTTGTTTTGTTGTTTTGGTATCTAGGTTGGGTAGCACAGGCCAGAGCCTGTTTCATGTTGTAGTGAATCCTCCTTAGCTACTGAAGTACACTCAATTCTCCAGCTCACAAAGTGCAAATAACCTCGGGGTTTTCTCTGCGACACTTTCACATCGGTATTATGTGTTACACTCAGTGCTCATTCAAAATCCACTGAAACCTGGAAAAGTAAAATACTTGTTAAAAATAGTTTTAGAAGTTCTCCTCCAAGCCTTCAGCCCTCTGCTGAACGGTGTAGGAGGCAAAAGGAAATTAGACCAAACTGGAACTTTTGCAGTCCAATATGGCGCCGTCCGGGATGTTGTTGTTGTTTGTGTGTGTTTGTCAACTTGACACACACTAGAGTTATCTGAGAAGAAGGAACCACAACTGAGAAGATGTCTCCCTAAGACCGGCCTGTAGGCAAGCCTGTGGGGTACTGTTTGGTTAATGATTGATGTGGTTGCTGCTACCTCTGGGTGGATAGTCCCCGAATCTATAAGGAAACAGGTCGAGCAAGCCATGGGAAGTCAGCAGTGTTCCTCCATGACTTCTGCTTTATTTCCCACTCCAGGTTCCTGCCCCGACTTCCTCTGATGATGGACTGTGATGTGGAAGTGTAACGTGAAATAAACCCAATCCTCAGGTCAGAACCAGGATGGGAAAAACCCACAGAGACAGCTGACCCAAGCCAGTGGGAGCTCATGGACTCTGGACTGACAGCTGGGGAGCCTGCATGGGACCGAACTAGGCCCTCTGAATGTGAGTGACAGTTTTTCGTGGCTTGATGTGTTTGTGGGTCCCCTGGCAATGGAACCAGGATTCATCCTGGGTACACGGACTGGCTGGCTTTTTGGAGCCTATTCCCTATGGTGCGATGCCTTACTCAGCTCTGATGCAGGGGGCGGGCTTGTTTAGGTCCCAACTTGGTATGCCAGCCTGTGTTGACTGCCCCAGGGAGGCCTTACCCTCTATGGGGGGGGGATGGGGGATGGGGGGGTAAGTGGTGGCAGGGAGCGGGAGAAGAGGAAGAAGAGGGGTTGGTATGTGAAAGGAAAGAAATTTTTTTAAATAAAATATTATATATGTGTGTGTGTATATATATATATATATATATGAGAACAATAAACCTGACCCTCTCCAAGTTGTTTTTTGTCAAGGTATTTTGTCACAGAAGTAGAAAACTAAGACAGGCATCTATTACTTAGGAGTAAGAATCAAGACCATCCGTAGCTAGCATATAATCACATATCAATCTGTACACACAAAACTAACACTAAAATTAAAAAGCAGAGTTGTTTTAACAGTGGAAAGTTGGTTTTGTTCTGTTGAACGAATGCAGGTTGGAAGTGCTAGCTGTCCGAGAATACTGCAGAAGACCCAGCTGTCTTCAATTCTGCTTCTATCCCGTACACCCCCCCCCCCCCCGAGGGAATTCCACACTGTCAATAGGTCCCCATAGGACAGTCCATTCTCCCTTGCACTATTTTTTTTTTTTCTGACACAAGAATAAGCAGCTCCCTTTACCTTTCTGATGACTTCCTCCCACCCTTCTGTCTGATTCAGGCTGCAGGAAGGAGTCCAGTTCTCACAACTTACCTAATGGATCTTCAGATCTAGCGGCCACCACACCCCTGTGAGCCCACCTGAGGAACTCAGGGCCTTTCCTCCTCGTCTCTTCTCCCTGGATGGCCTAAAGGCAAGAGTTTACTCATTCCGCTGATTAAGGCGATAGAGCAAGAAGAGGAGAATATTTCGGGGCATAAAATGGCCAAAAGGATTAAACACAACTGAAAGGTCAAGGGAATTGGAAGATGGAAAAGAGCCGTTGGCTTTCGATTCTGAGGACCATTTCAGGGGCGGGAGAGGGGGAAATGGGCAGTGGGAAAAGCAGCTCCTTAGATATGTGTAAAAAGAGGAGAAAAGCCAGCGAAAATGACCCGGAAGAACTTGTATCCTAAAGGAAAGGCCTCTTTCTAGCTGGCAGGAACATGCTATTTGGGGGAGCCGACGGCGGCGGCATAGACGAGGCTGGACTAAGGTAGGAGTAGGCGGAAGGTCCTGGGTCCAGGAAGCAAGTGGGAAGCGAGGACAGGCAGAATACCACCGGACTTTAGGCTCAGCAAGTTTTCGTTTCAGAATTCTTTCTGGCTAGAGCTGGTGACACATACTGGAGCCTCAGCCCCTGGCCAGGCTGGTGTGGAGTGAGCCCCGAGGCCAGGAATTCCTTTCTGTACAATAAAAGGCAATATCAGCTGCCTAGGAGAGGGAAGGGATGGCGTGAGTGGGCTGAAGGGGGGGGTTGAGGGGTTGGGAAGAGGGTGCCTGTCTGGAATACACGGAGGGATACCAGGGAATCGTGCATCTCAGGCTCCGGATATCCCCAGCTTAAGGGGGTTTTCTGGAGAGATGAATCGGCAAAGAAACTGGTCAACATCTTATGATCCCTGAGGAGTGGCAGCCGAAGTGATGAGTCTTAGTATTTCAGAAACACAGTAAAGAAAATGGAGCCAAGCTGGCGGTCCGGAGGAAGACGAAGGGAGCACTGGGCTGCTGGCGGGAAAGGTGAGGAAGAGTGACCTTCTGAGATGGGATATCCAAGACTAAGGTAAAGTGGTGTTGAGATCCATGGCTGCAGATTCAACCAAGTTTAATAGGAAAACAATTTTGTCTGTGTTGAATATGCTCAGACAGTTCTCATGTCCTTCCCTAGATAATGTAGGGCATTTCTCGTATTGCAAGAAATTTAGAGGTGTCTTAGAGTATTCAGGTGGCTATATGTGTATATGCAAACATCACACACCAGTTTATGTTGGGTACTTGAGCATCTGCAGATCTTGGCATCCTTCAGGGTTCCTGGAACCAACATCCCTAGGATTTGAAGAGATGGCTGTATGTGTCCTATTTCCTGTGCCAGCTGGTGAATTTGGAGAGGCTAGGGAATGATCTATACCATGTGCCCCTCAGAACTCATTGCTTGGCAGAGGCCCTGGTCTTGGGCCTTTTCTTTTACTGTACATGTTATCATAATGTATTAAAGGATGCTTGGATCATGTGAACTCTTTTTAGTACCAATCACATGAAAAAATGCGTTCATTCTGCGTGATTCTTTATTGTATCAATCTTGAGAACTCAAAGCGGGGAAAAGAAATTTCTCATCTAAATACTCCTAAAATTACTTCACTCTTTCCTTCTTTTTTCTAGGTTTTAACCAAGTCAGTATTTAATTTTAATTGGTTATAATGAGCATAAAATAAATTGTTATTCTACTTGCCAGATCACTGCCTTTTGGAGTGAAATGAAGAATCAAATAGATATTTTCTGTGTTCCTTTGTGTTTTGTCTTCTTTGCTATCTTCTTCCTCTTTTTTCTTCTTTCTCTCCACCACCCCTTTCCCAACTTCCTTTTTCTCTAGTGCTGGGGATCCAACTCCAGGCTTTGCATACACAGAGCAGGGTTCCCACTGAGATAGGGCCCCGGGCTTCTTTAGCATTTCCTAGTGGTTCCATAGCTCATAGGTCTGCCATCTTTAATTGTTCTCCTGTTGTTGAACATATGGACTTTTATCTTTTCAGCATTCCAAGGTATGTGGGAGTGAATCTTTCACATATAATTAAAGAAATTATTTCCTAAAGGTAAATTTCTAAAGTAAGAAATGGGTTTAAAATTCAAACTCTTAATATATGTGCAGTAAGATCCTTTCAAACTGTCACACAGTGCATTTATTTTGTTACTTTAGCAAAATTTTGTCCTAAAAATCTATTTTTAACCAAGGAATACATTTAGTCTATGTTAATAAGCTGTCGGGTACTGGGAGAGTCATGTGATACTGGGGAAAGAATGCAGGCCTGGCATTAAGGAGGTCCAGGTTTACTCTAAAGTGGGGGAGCAACTGTGTGAATATATTCAAGTCGCTGAATGTTTTTTCTAGCCTTAGAATTGTATGGATGTGTTTATCAAAATGATAGTTAACATCTCTTTCCATGAGATGATTTCTCTTCCCAGTCATCTGTGCTGGCTAGCTTAATGTCAACTTGATACAAGCTACATCTGAGAGGAGGGAACTCAATTGAGAAAATGCCTCCATAAGATCCAGCCGTAAGCAGAAAAGCCTGTAGGACATTCTCTTAATTAGTGATGGATGGGGGAGGGCCCAGCCCTTTGTGCATAGTGCCATCCCTGGACTGGTGGTCCTGGAGTCAATAAGAATGTAGCCTGGGCAAATCAGTAAGCAGCACCCCTCCATGGCCTCTGCATCAGGTCCTGCCTCCAGGTTCCTGCCCTCCAGGCTTTTGATGATGAAGTGTTATATGGAACTGTGAGCAAAATAAACCCTTTCCTCCCCAAGTCGCTTTTGGTCATGGGGTTTCATCACAGCAATAGTCACACTAACTAAGATGTCATCTTAAAAGGCCTTCCTTACAATCACTCACTGAATGAGAAGCTACCAGTTACTGAGTATCTTCTGGAGGTGAGTCACACTTGAGTTATTTCGTCTACTTCAGAGCACAAACCAGTGAGGTGGGTTCAGTTATCATTCCCAATGAGGGGATGCAGAACCAGGATTCTGACTAATGTGACGGAGATTGCCCAAGTGCGCAGAGCAGTAACAAAGAGATGAAGGTCCAAAGGTCCACTTTTTTTTTTTTTTTTTTTTTTTTTACTTCTAGGGTCCTGCATTTCAACCACTACACTCTAATTCCTTGGCTTATTTTCTCCTAAAAGAACTCAGAAGATACCAACTTTGAATCAGTTTGCAGCATTGCAGGTACATTTTTTAAACCCCAGGGATAATAGAATCATTTGATTTTGTTTATGCAGGAGTCCCAGAACATCTGAGCTGCCTTTATTTTTTGTTTTTGCAAAGCTTTTGCTTTAAAGCCAACTTTTGCGTATCTATTTCTCTTGCTAAAGGGAAAATAACTTTGCTTGTCTGGCTCTACTAAGGTCTTACGTATATTTTATTTAATTCATGACTATTTATGTTACAGTAATGGAGTCTGGGTTTTTAATTGGTGTTCCCTTATATAGGTTTATACTGCTTAAGATTGTTGCCTATTACTCTGCCCATGGGGCAGCTTTTATTTAAAAGGAATCAAATTAAATTGCTTCATAAAAATTACAGCATGTGTTCAGAAATGTTTCTAAAATTCCATGTGTCTGGACTTCAATTTTCATTAAGAATTGCATTCAGCAGCCTTCCCTTTTCAGGAAGTTACAGGGTGGTACCCCCTAGTGGAAGTTCTACAGAAACTTCAGTTAGCCAGCTCTGAAGCAAAGGAAGTTCAAACAGACACAACTTCTTTCCCCCCTGGGGCAGTTCTTTATTGACAGAAAACAGCGGAGGTCAGAGGGTGAGCTGTGAGTACAGTTAGGTGGGCTGAACAGCAGGGGGCATTATAAGGTGAAAATTGGGACCAAGACAGGCATCAAAAGGTCATAAATGACAGAGGCACTGGGTGTGGAATGGCCAGGTTAAAAGACAGTAGATCAACCCGTGAACATGGGACTGGTCCCAAACTGTGCAGAGAATTTGCCTATGGGGATAGTGCTTGGTGAATTGGTAGGAGAGACTCCGCGTAAAGGAAAGGCAAGTTGGGAGATAGCATGGAGCAGGAAGAGCAGCGTCTGGAAAGAGGGAACAATTGAATCAGAACGGAAATAGGCTGTCCTAGGCTCAGGTCAGAGGGACTCAGCACCCAGGGTGAGGACTGGAAATGGGAAGGGGACAAGAAGGCAAAACAGCATCTGTGGAGCCAGTCTTCAGAAAGAGGCTCTCTTTGGCCATGCTGTCCCTGATGGAGTGAAACTTGCTAGTTTAGGGAAGGCATCACCTCCAGGACTACAAGCTGACTCTTTAACTCAGGGACAGCACCTATTGGAAAATTTAGGAATTTCTTACTTAGGATTCAGGAATAAAAAAATTAAACATTTTAAAATTTTTCACGGGGCGGTGGTGGCACACGTCTTTAATCCCTGCACTCAGGAGGCAGAGGCAAGTGGATCTCTGTGAGTTCAAGGCCAGCCTGGTCTACAGAGTAAGTTCCAGGGCAGCCAAGACAAACAGAGAAACTTGTCTCAAAAAAATCCGAAAAAGAAAAACCAAACAACAACAACAACAACAAAAAGCAAACTAACCCACCAACAAAAACTCACAAATAAATATATAGCAAATGTTTCTGTGGGACATTTATTCTTTCAAGTGGGCTTTAATTATTTAATGTTTAAAAGATCTTGTTGGTGTTTTGGTTGTGGCTATACTTGATATTATTTCAAAACACCTGATATTATTATAATGTTGGTTCAATGCAGCAGTATGTATCTTCAATAATTTGTCTTTCAGTAAAGCCTGTCCTCTCTAATGTGGGTTATTCATGGTTCTTTATTTTATATTTTTTAGTTTCTACTGTAAATTGTTTTTCCTCTCCATTATGTCCACTCCTCTTCCCATCCTCCCTGCCCCCTCCATCCCTCTGTCTTACTTTGTAGCCCTGCCTGGCCTTGAACTTGTGGCACTCTCCCTCCTGCCTTTGTCTCTGAGTGTTGGATGTTTTCTGACTATTTGGTGCTAAAATATGAGAAACCTTGACCTGCTTATTTTCTAGTTCTGGTTGTTCACTCCGGTGAGTCTTTTAGACTTGAGACACAGCTGCTTGAGTGTTACAAAGTGTCTGTCCTCCAGAGGAGAGGGCATTCTGTTGCTAGAGTTTTCCTGCCTTGCCCACAGTCAGGACAAATCTCTGTCACCCACCAGTCCCACAGCCGCTCAGACCCAACCAAGTAAACACACAGAGACTTATATTGCTTACAAACTGTATGGCCGTGGCAGGCTTCTTGCTAACTGTTCTTATAGCTTAAATTAATCCATTTCCATAAATCTATACCTTGCCACGTGGCTGGTGGCTTACCGGCATCTTCACATGCTGCTGGTCATGGCGGCAGCTGGCAGTGTCTCTCTGCCTCCGCCTTCCGCTTCCCGGAATTCTCCTCTCTCCTTGTCCCACCTACTTCCTGCCTGGCCACTGGCCAATCAGTGTTTTATTTATTGACCAATCAGAGCAATTTAACATACAGACCATCCCACAGCAGCATTCTTTTCTAAGTTTTCTGTATAAGCAAAATTCCCAGGGCCTCAAGTTCAGCACTGATGAAGGTGAGCGGTTCCTGCAGATACTGCAGTATGGAGTGAGCAAGTTGGGAAGCGATGGTTGGTCCTGGCTGCTTTAGAAGGGGGTCTGAGAGTGGGGGAAGCAGGGCGTAAGAGGAGAGCAGAAGGGCCAGGAGGTGGAGAAGTCATCATCTCTTGAACCTCTTGGGCTCTCTGCAGGATCTACTCTGGGAGGGTGACGAAGTGCCCAGGGCCCTGCTGACCAGCGTCCACAGACCCAGCAGTACTGACACAGCCCGGCTGACCAGGGAGTAGAGTGGATGCTGATGCTTGATCTATGGAAGCAACACTGTAGGGTGTGCTGGATGCCGCCCTCCATGCACATTGTGGCTTCTGGCTGCACCCTGGCTCATTGCCTGCAGTCCTGCAGGTGACAAACCCTCCCTGGTGATGATTCCCTGAAGTTCAGGTGAGGTTCTGGACCAGCAGGTCCCAGCATCTGTCCACGCTCCACAACTCCAGAGGTTTATGGCAGCCCAGGTAGGGTTAATTCCCGTCCCTCTTTGCTGCTACACTCTCAATACTCTGATGGCCTGTCTTTGTACATGGCTTAAGTTGGTAGATCCTCTTTTTAAAAAACTTAGGAATTCTGTGCTAGTGCTCAGTAGCGTTTCAGAACGATTGCTAGTGGCTTTAAACAGTTCGATAAGGCAGCATAACAAATACTTCAGGGCCCGGGAATGAAAGCAGAGGGCATCTGGTTTTTAGAGGAGGGCGAGCTGAACGTGAAGAGGCCTTCCTGGTGGGAGCCTGCTGGGTCCCTCCTCCAGCCTAGTGGAGGAAAAGGGAAGATGCAGCGCTGTGTTCACAAGAGAAAACAAAACGCTAGCTCCAGAGAGTGTTAATTTCTGCTACAAACACCGGGAGAAACATTCTCCTTGGAGTCCTTTCTGAAAGGATGCATACAGGTATTTAAAAAAAAAAATATCTCTAAACATCCTCCTACACTGTAGGACCTACAGGAAGTACTGTAGTGACTTCCATGTTAGTAGACCAGAGGGAAAACGGGAGGGGTGTGGTCAAGAACAAGGCCATTCCATAGGGGTCTCATGATCCAGTCTTGAAGCCTCTCTGGGTCTAGGCCCTCGGGTTAAATGACTCTGCAGCTCTCTGCTCAAAGCTTTTTAAGGAAAATTGATCTATTTTTTTAAATGTGTATGGATGTTTTTCCTTCATGCCTGACTTTGCACCACATGCAGCCCTGGTGCCCATGGAGTCTGGAAAAGAACATTGGATCCCCTGGCACTGATGTTACGGTCAGTTGTGAACCACCATATGGATGCTAGAAACTAAACCTGGGTCCTCTGTAAGAGCAACAGTGCTCTTAACTGATGAACCCTCTTTCCAAGCCCCATTCTTCAGATTTTAGACACCGTGGAGTAACCCCGAGTTCCAAGATTAAGCATCTGCTAGGCTTCTGGGGCACAGTGTTGCTGCGTGGTCAGCTAGATCTTCTGCATGTGTTTAATAAGCAAGCAAGCCGGGGAGCTATTGACAAGTTCTTATTAAGCCCGAGTTACCTACCAAGGGCATATGGTGGACAGAAGGTCTGGCATGCTCAGATTCTTCACAAAGAATAATTTGGTATTTGTTCTAACAAGGTGATCTACAACAGATAGCCTTAATGACTTTACCCTGAAAAAATTTTAAATCTTTTATATATAACCAATTGCCTATTTAACCCATTAAATGAATCTCAGTAAAGCACCCATAGAATAAGACTACACGTAAGGGATGTATCTGTCTTATGTGTATGAGTGTGTATATTTGTGTAAGGTGTATTTGCGTGTGTGTTAAAAAGTTGATGGTTGGATTTAGAACTCCTGGCCCTTCTTTGTGAAAATAAACAAGAGAAGGCTTCTCTCTATATTTCTTGTCATTGGAATTAGCACCATATCTGATCCATCACTTATTGTGGACCAGAAAGTACAGTTTTTGTGGTGATATTGTGTTCCCCAAAATATTGTACATTCTAATAAACTTATCTGGGGTCAGAGAACAGAACAGCCACTAGATATAAAGGCCAGAAAATGGTGGCACACACACACCTTTAATCCTAGCCTTCTGGAGGCAGAGATACATGCAGATCTCTGTGAGTTCAAAGCCACACTGAAAACAGCCAGGCATGGTGACTCACGCCTTTAATCCCAGGAAGTGATGGCAGGAAGCAGAAAGGCATATAAGGCATGAAAACCAGGAACTAGAGCCTGGTTAAGCTTTTAGGCTTTGAGCAGCACAGTTCAGCTGAGATCCATTTGGATGAGGTCTCAGAAGCTTCCATTCTGAGGAAACAAGATCAGCTGAGGAATTGGCAAGTGAGGTGGCTGTGGCTTGTTCTGCTTCTCTGATCTTCCAGCATTCACCCCAATACCTGGCTCCAGGTTTGTTTTTATTAATGAGATCTCTTTAAGATTCGTGCTACAAGTTTATTGCATGCACTATTCTTTTCATCCATTAGGGTTGGGGGTAAGGCTGGGAAATCTATATTGAGCTTGTGTATTGTCTTAGTTTGGGTTGTTATTGCTGTGAAGAGACACCATGATCACAACAACTCTATAAATAAAAATATTTAATTGGGGCTGGCTCCTTACAGCTTCAGAGGTTCAGTCCATTATCATCATGGCAGGGAGTGTGGCAGTGTGCAGGCAGATGTGGTACTGGAGAAGTAGCTGAGAATCCTACATCTTGCAGGCAACAGGAAGTGAACTGAGACATTGGGCAGTATTCTGAGCATAGGGAACATTAAAGCCCACCCACACAGTGACACACTTCCTCTAACAAGGCCACACCTACTCCAACAAAGCCACACCTCCTAATAGTGCCACTCCCTATGAGATTATGGGGGCCAATTACATTCAAACTACCACATGTATCTTGGCCTGTAACTGATTTCAATCCCCAGCATCAAAGATTATGGAAAGATTGATTAAAAAATGCAAGCATCCTTAGCTTTTTTTTTTTTTCTCACTAGATCGCTACACAAGAATGGATGACTAAGGATAGTCATGAGTGGTGGGATTAGCTCTGCCTGGGGCTTGCCTCATGTAGAACACTGGCCGCAGAGTCCCGGAACTGCATGCATTATCAATGGGCCATACAGTCGGAAAAATGGCGTAGGCAAAAGTCCTGTCCAGTCAAGAAAGAGGAATTTCTCTTCAAAAACACAAACACCAAGAGAGATGCCTTCTCTGTCTGTTTACAAAGCCTCCATGTCCCAAGCTCTGTGTCGAGAGCTGGGGAGGAGTGGTGTGTGTGTCTGCGGAGCTGGACTTGTGGTAGTCGTGACTCAAGTGTGAGAGAGGAAGGTTATAAAGGGAATAAACCACAAGGCAATGCTCTTTGGCGTCCGGGACGGCAATGGGAGGCCTCACATGCTCACATTACACACGCACATCATAAATAAATAATAACGTGTCAAATGTCTGTTATGACAAACTCCCCAGTGCCTGATTGGTCATAACTGTGCGGACTGACTTTCCCACCTCTGTAGAGGGCCTGGCAGCTGTTGCCCCAAAGGGAAACTTGTGAATATCATGTGGCCCTTTTCACCTCATCCTCAACTACCAGGACAGGAACAGCACACCAGAGCCCAAAAGCTTGGCAGGCTTGAAAGCAAGCAGGACAGGAAAGGCTGGTCCTAAGGACGCCCTCGCCCACCCTCTTCAGAGTGGAGGAAGTCCTTTCTCTCCCCGTTGTTCTCCTGTTAGTCCACCTACCCCACCTCTGGCTATTCTTGGTATTTCATCCTAAGATTCAGGCAGCAGAGCGCCCTCTGCTGGCGCATAGAAACAGAGAACACTAGCCGGGGGACCACATGACCCAGTTCCCCAAACATCTGAAGATAAGAAGAAAAAGACAAATTCAACTATTTTAGTGAGCTTGCTAAGATCATAGTTCTCTCTCATAAGGGAACTGTGGGTAATTATAAATTTTTTCCAGTTTTTTTTTTTAGATCAGTTTTCAAAGAGTACTTACAAATCTCAGTCTCTGGTCCACAGAGCACCCATCTCTGCTAGTCAGCTGTGCGAAGGCGTCTCCCACACAGCAGCCTCCCTCTGAACTGTGGTTCACTCCTGGGAAGCTCTGCCTTGGAAGCTGCCTATTGGCAGAGCGGAAGAGCTCCTTTCTTGGAGGTAACGGTATGTTGATAGTGAGCTTAAAATTTTGCGTAGTCCCAGGTGACCATTCCCAGTTTTGTTTACTTATATTGTCCTACTGAATGTCTGCATCTCATCTTGATCACGTTCTTTACACAGTGTTTGGTTGTATATCAACATAGAAAAAGGCTCACAAAGAAATGCATCAAACATGTCAGTATTTATTTATGCGATCAGGCTACCAGCAATTTCTCCTTTTAATATCCATCTGTGTGTTCTAAGAAACAACTCAACAAACATGAAATCTTCCCAGAAGCAGAGGATACAACAAAGACTTTTGTGTTTGAAGAAAAATTCACAAGAGATGAAAGCGCATCTCTGGCATGTCCTCAGAGACCTCTCCTGTTCAACAGAGACCCTCACGCCCTCTGAACGGAGTTCCTGAAGGGGATTTGCAAAGCCTCCCTGTACAAGCACTCCATATAAGCATGAAGGGCGCGTGGGGGCGGGGCGGGGCGCGTTGGATTCCCAGACCTCAAAGTTGGATGAGGTAGCACATGCCTACCAAGAGATGGGAGACAGAGAGAATTCTTGGCAGCTCCTGGCCTGAGAGCCTGCCATACGTGGTAGTGAACATGAGACCCGGCCTCGAACAAGGTGGCAGGTGAGGATGAACACCTGAAGTTGTCTTCTGACTTCCACATACTTGCTCTGGCACGTACATGCACGTACACATACACATCATACACATACATTAAAACAATGAATGAATGAATAAACACATAAAGCCACAGTGGTAATGGCAATGTTAATTCTTGGTCAGCTGGAGGATGAAACTGCTTAATTATGATGAAACTTGGCCTCTGTGCTCCCTTCCTTCTTTGATACAGGGTCTTATGTATCCCAGGCTAGCCTTAAACTCATTATGTAGCCAGAGCTAACCTTGAACTTCTGATCCTCCTGCCTCCACCACCTGGGTGCTAGGATTACAGGTACACACCACCATGGCTGGGTTACGCAGTGCTGAGGATCAACCCAAGTGTGATCATGCATGTATTCGTGCATGCATCTACCGACTGAACCACATCTCCGGCGTATTGTGGGACCTCAGGAGACTTAAGCTTGAGAAGGAAAAACTTTTAGTTTTCTTCAGAGCTGCTCGACAGAGTGTCAAGAACACCCCAAAAGGACGGTGGCAAGGCTTAAGGCAAGACAGTGCATGTGGCCGTTTGTTGCTTTTCTTGTACATGCGATCGGGTCGCAGAGAGGGAGCAACTCTCGGGAGGGAGGGTTTGCTTGGGTCACAGTTTGAAGGACACTGTGTGACGGGAAGGCATGAAGAGAAGCCGGAGCACAGGGGGGCTGGTTACGTAGTGTCTGCAGTCGGGAAGCAAAGACAAGACAGCAGCTCGGCTTCTAGAGGTCCACAACCTTCCAAATCGGGCACCAGCTGAAGACTGGGGAAGTGCTCGAACACGTGGGCCCACGGGGACATTTCACACTCAACCTCAGCAGCTCAACCCCAGGAAAGCCCGACTTGTGAGCATGTCGGCCTCCACGGCATGCAGCCACAGTTCTCAGCCTTAGCCCCTGGCCTTCCACCCACACTGCTTCCCACTTCCATCTGCAACACATTCCAGCCCCCAAGGAAACAACAACAACAACAAAAAAAAGGGCAGTGGTTTCGTGTGGCTTCACTCTGTGAAAAATAATTGTTTCTAAGACTCAATGGGCAAATGACTAAGCCCTCAGTAAATAACTTACCTTCAGCCTACATGCTTAGTTTTTCCTCCTCTCCTCCTCTCTTTCTTGTCTTCTTTTTATTATTGTCTTTTTTTTTTAAAACTTTCCCAGCATGGAAACCCCCTCACAAGTCTGACAGGCCTAGAAGTTGACTTAAGATATATTTTCAGTTGTGCTTGAGCAATCTGCTAGGCAACACATGATCCACACTCTCCAGATACAGACAAGAGTAAACAACCCATGGACATGTCAGTTTTACACATCACACTTTAGGGGATTTTTGTTGTTCACTACACCTTATACCATGGGGGAGAGTCAAATGGCACACTTAATTTTTAAAAGTTCTTTAAAATTAATTAAAAATGACTGATCTTTATTACTTCTTTTGGACAAGGTCATGCATGCACACCATGTATTTTGGTAGGTTCTGCCCCCTTGTTCTTTTCACATCCCTCCCAGAGCAGTCTACTTTAAAATCAGTTCCTATGTGGGGCTATCCACCATGATAGAGTCTGATTCAAACTGCATTCGAAGGGCAGAGAGAAAGCTCTGAGGAAGCCACCGAGCTGGGAGGCAAAGTTTAGTTTTGTTCTTAGGGGGCGCAAGGTTGGCTGCTCCTCGGGGCAGATCCATAAAGACAGTGAACAGCGATGCCCTTCCTGCCCTTGCTCTGGGTTGCTGTAACTTCTCTCACCGTGTTTCAGGGTTAAGTGGCATGTATGAGCCACGGAAAATTCCTTTGACCCCGGGGTCTGAGCTATGGAAGGGCAGTGCCACAGGCGGCCGCCTTCCAAAATAGAACCAGCAGAGATAAGCCTCGTTGAATCACGCTGTCATCCCCCTGAGTCTCCAGGGGCTTCAGGGACCGTGGTGGCAACAGGTAATAATTATGGTCTGTTTAGAGAGGGGCCACGTTTTAATTTAATCTTACAAAAACCAGGCTAAAGCTTCCTATGGGACTCTTATTTTGTTTGTTTGTTTGTTTGTTTTTGTTGTTGTTGTTTTTTCGAGACAGGGTTTCTCTGTGTAGTTTTGGTGCCTGTCCTGGATCTTGCTCCGTAGACCAGGCTGGCCTTGATCTCACAGAGATCCTCTTGTCTCTGCCTCCGGAGTGCTGGGATTAAAGGCGTGCACCACCACCTCCAGACTTGGACTCTTTAACTTAATCACATTAAAAAAAATGAAATGACCCTAGTTGGAC